CTGGTTCGCATGACGTCTCCAACTGACCATCTTCAGTAAGCACGCCATATAATGCTTCTCCATAGCGTTTCTTCACTCGGGCTGGAATCCATTTTTCACATCCAGAGCGAAAATCACGTACCCACACGGCTTCTTGTGGCTGGTACGCTCTCTTTCGTGCTCCATGGTGGCGGTTGAACTGCTTCTCCATGTTTTCATTGCCCATTCCTTCTTCTATGGAGTCTTCGTTCAGCAGCGACAACGGTGTCCTGATCTGACGTCTCAGGAGCAGCTCAGCAGGCGAACGTTGTTCTGGGGCAGTTGTACAAGGCGTCCGTCGATAAGACTGCAGAAACTCCGCGAGCTTCTCTGCCGTTCTTCCCCCCTTAACTTTCTGGAAGGTTCTCTTGAAGATATCCACAAACCTCTCCGCTTGTCCATTTGATTGGATGGAATGGAGGCGAACGCATATGCTTGATTCCTCGCTCTTCACAGAAATCCTGGAACTCCTTTGCTGTGAACTGCGTCCCATTATCCGACACGATCACTCGCGGATTTCCAAATCGTGCGAATAGAGATCTGAGTTCCTTCAGAGTAGCTGTAGTTGACGATGAAGGCATCTCAAATACTTCTGGCCATTTCGAGTAAGCGTCAACTACGACGAGATACATCTTACCATTCAGCGGCCCTGCGTAGTCAATGTGAAGTCGATTCCATAGTTTGTCTTCTACTTTCCATGAATGCAGCAACGTCTTCACTGGCATTTTGGAGGCTTCTTGGCAATCCCTACAGCGGCGCACTGAGTCTTCAATTTCTCTGTTGATGCCCATCCAATATGCGAATCCTCTCGCGAGCATCTTCATCCTTGTCATTCCAGGGTGTCCCTCATGTAACTGCTTGAGAACCGCTTGTCTCAGCAAGGCTGGAATGACTTTCTGTGGACGAAATACAAACATCCCTTCTGCACTGATAAATTCTCCCTCAGTGCTCTCCAATTTTGGACTTCTTCTTTAGGCTTGGACGGCCATGCTCCCGATTGCAGCATTCGTATAACTTGCGCAATTGTTTCGTCCTTGCGGGATTCTTCTTCTATCTTTCTTCGGGTTACTGGTAACGCTCGTACAGCAGCAGCTTGGACGGCTCGCAGATCTTCTTCTATTTTCGCTATGACGACGTCTTCGGTCTGGAATGGCCTTGGAGGGATCAGTCGAGACAGTGCAACGGCTTGTCCGAATTCGGTCGTCTTGCGGTACTCCAGGTCAAAGTCGTATGCGAGTAATATGAGCTTCCATCGTTGTAACCTGTTCGCTGTGTACACAGGCACCATCTTCTTGGTCCAAAGATGTGTAGCAGCGGCTTGTGATCGGTGAGCAATCTGAACCGTCGTCCATATATGTACCGATGGAACTTACGAACTGCGAAAATCAATGCTAGTCCTTCCTTCTCAATTTGTCCGTAGTTCCTTTCCGCTGCTGTGAGGCTTCGGCTTGCATGGCAAATAGCCTTCTCTGTACCATCTGGCATCTTGTGGAGAATTACAGCCCCGATTCCGTAGTCCGATGCGTCGGCAGCTACCACTATCTGCAATTTTGGATCGAAATGTGTGAGGAGTAGATCCGAAGATAAAACCTCCTTGGCACGCTTAAATGCGTTTTGGCATTCCTCCGTCCATTCGAACTTTGCGTCCTTTTTGAGCAATGCGTACAAGGGTGCACGAAGTTGGCGCATCTCTGCCACGAATAATCCATAGTAGTTGATCATGCCGAGGAATGATCGAACATCGGCTATGTTCTTCGGAGCTGGCATCTGTTGAATAACTCCAATTTTCTTTGGATCCGGCCGGCGTCCGTTTTTATCGATAATGCAACCTAAGTAACAGATCTCTGGCATCAGAAAGTTGCATTTTTCCAACCTGACGTGGAATCCATACTCCTTGATTCGCTTGAACAAGGCTTCCAAGTTTTGGCGATGCTCTTCAAAGCTCCTTCCCGTGATGATGATATCATCAAGATAAGCGGCTACTCCATCAAGCCGACTTATCATGGAATCCATAATCTGCTGGAATATACCTGGAGCCGATTTTACTCCGAATGGCAAGCGATTGTAGCGATACAATCCCTTGTGCGTGTTAATAGTTAGCATCTCCTTCGATGCTTCCTCAACTTCCACTTGTAGATATGCCTCGGCCAAATCGAGCTGCGTGAAGAGCTGGCCTCCATTGAGCTTGCTGAACACATCCTCCGCTGTGGGCAATGGGTGCTGATGCAGCTGCAATGCATCCTTGAGTCCTGTCGAGAAGTCGGCGCATAGACGGATCCTGCCATTTTTCTTCTTGACGGCGACTATTGGAGCGGCCCACTCTGAGTGTTCTACAGCAGAAATAACTCCTTCGGCTACTAGCCGATCAATTTCTGCCTCCAGTTCCGGAGCTGTGACGTATGGAACTGGTCTCGTCTTCTTGAAGACCGGGACAGCATCTTTCTTCAAGACTAACCTAGCTTTGCTCTTCTTACATTTCCCTAGTTCGCTCCTGAAGACATCCGAATACTTGTTCTTCAACTCGGCGACAACTTCGGCTCGAATTGCTTCTTCGCTAGTCACCTTCCTGCAGTTGTATTTGGTCTTCAACTTCTTGTAGGCTGGCAATTGGATGCACCACTCCAATCCCAGGAGATTCGAGCCATCGGTGACATAGCATGTTCCTTTTCCATGGACCATCCGTCCTGTAACTCGATCTTTGACCTTGAAATCCGTTAAAAATTTACCATCGATCTGCATTGGCGTCCCATCTGCAGTTTTTACAGGCATCACGCACGGTTCTAAAGCTGGAGATCCTATCCTCTTCCAGGCTTTACGAGATATCAGCGTTATATCCGCACCCGTGTTTAACTGGAGCTTGAGGGGACATCCTTTGACAACAACGTCAAGGTAGGTGCGGGCGTTCTCGGCGTCGAAGGCGACCACGTTCTTGCATTGTCTTCTTCAACCATAGGGCTGAGTCCCTGTCTTCCGTCGCTTCCTTGGCCCGTTCTAGGAAGTTGTGGACAATCCTTGCTGAAATGCGGACCTCCACATCTGAAACAATCCACCTTTTTCTTCCACACCGCATGGACATCGCGGGTTCCCTCCATATCCGTGTTGTCCGTCTTCGAAGCGGTGTAATTCTCGCATTCGCTAACCAAGTCCTCGATTGTTAGCGGTGTTTCGTTCGTATGTGCATCCAGTCTGCGAATCATCCTGAGACGGACGTCTCGCAATGACGGGTCTTGAAGACCGGCCACGAATTGTAGGGTCTTCATTGCAGTGTAGTCGAGCTCCTTGAGTCGAGCGTCCTCATCCATCCGCTTGATTGTGTTGGCGTATTCTCGGAAAGGTACATACGTCGGCGTAAGCGGTGGGCAGGTGACGCGGAGGCACTCGAACCTTCTTCTTATCAGAGTCTTCTTGGATGCGAACAGCTTCTGAAGTTTTTCGATAGTTGCGCTAGAATCCAAGTCGTGTGGCTTTGCAGGCAGGACCTCATCTGCATACTTCCGGTATGCTTCTTCGTCCAGCTTCATGAGGACCAGGTCACGCTTTTTGTTGTCTGGCAACAAGGACTCGCTTATGACCGGTCCGTACCTGCTATACCAGTAGGCAAAGGTATTACCTGTGTCTTCATCGGAGACGAACCTTTGCACATCCTTGCTCAGCTGATCGTATTGATCCTTGCTGGCATCGTGTACGGCTACACTCTGATTATTGGCCAGAGTAGCGATCAGCATCCTCATTTATTCCTGTTGGGCTTGCATCTGGATCCGAACTTCTTCTTGTTGAAGCCGCATCTGCTCCATCATGACGTTGAGGACCTTCTCCAAATCCGCCGCATGCCGCTCTTCTGCAACCTTCGGCATGGCTCCGCTGCAACGACGAGATTTCTTCCCTCTCGTCGATTGATACCAGCTCTCAAATACAACTTATCTTGAGAAGTTGTCCCTGAAGTCGACTGAAGGCTTCTTCTTCTCCTTGGTCGGCGGTGGAGCTTCTTCTCGTCCTCGGTTGGTGGTGGAGTTCTTCTTGTCCTTGATCCTGATCGCCAGTTGATGTGGAACGCGTTGAGCCGTTGACAATTTATTAGAAAAACACAAGAGTTCCCCCTCTGCCTATCGGCGTATATGCCAAGGGTTCACTAGGAATAACTAGAGAACAACACACACAAATATATCAAAGTGCGGCGGGTACGCCGCAACCACAGAGACCATATCGACCTAGCCTATAGTGAGTGAGCAAGTTCAATATAAGGGACGGCTCTACAACACTAGAAACAACCAGGTTAAAAGAGGCCCTGCGTTCACTGATAGGTTGGAAAACCCAGTATTTACTGGGTTTCAAACCCACCTCGGCTCGCACAACTTTGAAGGCCATAATAGTATCTGCTAACAATCTTCTGTAGAAAAGAGTTTTGAGACCTAACTTTAATTCTGGTTGTGTAGTTTGGCAAGGCGAAAGGGTAGTTCGGATTGGGGAATGCGCGATAGAAAACAATCTTAGTAAATATTCTTTGAATTTTTTCAATTTTATCAACATCTTTTTTCAAAGTAGGGTTCCATACAAAGCTGCAATACTCTACAACTGGCAGAACAAATGTTTTATAGATTTTCAGAAAAAGTTTAGGATCTGAAGATTGCACACTGCGCATTATTGCATACAATATTCGAGTTCCTCGAGAGGCAATTTCGTCTATTTGACACGAGTATCTCAGTCTAGAATCTGTGAGAACTCCCAGGTCTTTGACCAGCAATTTACATTCGAGATCAAAGCTGCTATCAATTGAATGGTAAGGGGTTCTGCCAATGGGAACAGTACAACTTTTGGAGTAATTTACTTTGATGTTCCATCAAAGTAAATTACTCCAAATGTTCAAATATAATCATCCGCTTAACTTATAAGTGGGAGAAAAGTATTTGAGTAAAGCAAATTCGCACATGTTAATGCTTTGCGTGCTGCTTGGCCATACAGATTTGTCAATTACAGTTGTATCGATGTTCACCTCCATGTCATCAGAAGAAACCTTGCGTTTCTTGGAGCATTTATCGAAGAATTCAGCAAAACTAAGGTAAGCAAGCTTCCTTAAAGGCACCGTCCACCCTAAGTTGAGGGTGTTGAGCTTTTGGCAGCATATAATAGTAGGGCCCCCCATCGATCCGATTCCCAAGCCGCGGCGCAAAATGTAGCTTCGGAAGAGAGAAAATTGCTTCGGAATAGCGAAAATGCACGAGGACCCCCATCCATGCCCGCCCTCCCCCATCCATGCCCGCCCATTTGTGCGCGTCCATCCAATCACCGTTCCGGAAAGCCGTTCTGTGGGTTCTCCGGAACGGGGATTTTCGGGGTTTTCGAGCATTCTCGACTTCATATTCGCAATCAGGGGCATGAGAAGGCCCTGAAACGACAAAAACGTGGAAGATGAAAATCTGGGTGGACGGTGCCTTTAAGTAAGACGCAAGCATCATTTATGTAGTTAAAAAATCACATAGTATTGGTGGAAAAACTAAGCACAAAAAGCTGTTCCGTTACAAAGAATCTTAATTTTTGTCTCTCTCAGAATAAGGGTCTTTTGTGAGTGGACAGCCTTGTACATTAAATCCATTATACGAAATGCAGATCGGTGTCTTTCTCAGAACTTTTGACCCTTTCTTCTATAATCACTTCACATCCGTAATAGTACTGGAAGCATATTCGAATGGTTTCTGCAGAGCTACGAAGCAATTCCAAGTGGCTATCATTTTATTTTCAGAATATAAGCGTGGAAAAGAAGATTGGCATCTTCTGCTGTCACAGACCAGAAAGGACCACCTGCTACTATTACTATTAATTTTAGCAGAGTCGTGTCCTACAGTGTACAATTGTGAAACCTGATTCTTGCTTACGACTTTATTTCACGCGCTATGAGTATATTTTCCCAGTTATACTTTTTTATGAAAAAATTAAATAGGGTAATTATCAGGTTGGTGCAAAAGTAATGCGCGTTTTGCGAGTTCTTACTTTGACGTGCTATAACTTTCTAAAAAAACCCATATTTTTCAGTGCGACAAAGTCTATCAGAGGCACCAAACCTTTCTCTATACAGCGCACATTAAGTTATGTTAACATCGCAAATCGGTGGAAAAACATGGATTGACAAGCAAAAAGAAAATTTTTTTTTGGAAACCTCGTTTTTAACTGATCATAACTTCCTTCAAGATTTGTCGGTATAAATGAAAAGTTGACTGTCTTGTAGCCGCAAGCCATTAGTACAAAAAAAGTACAAAAGGGCTCCAATAAAGAGTATTTGCGAAAAGGAAAAAAATAATATTCAAAATTTTCCGCTTTTCTCGACATTTTTTGTAGCCCTCAAAATCCCAAAATATGGAGATTTTTGATTTTCTGTATACTGAACAGCTTCCACATTTCTGCAAAAACTGTCAACAAAAGTCCCGCCCTTACACTTACAGAAATGAGCAAAACCTTGGCGATTACCCTCTTCAAAAATCTATGGGCCATAGAATGATCAAAACCATCACTCATGTTGAGGCGCCAAGATCTCAGTCTACGTAATTTCTAGAGAAACAGTAAATAAAGCATGCATAACGTAGAAAATTTCTACTACATACAGTATTTAAATTTTCAAAAGAATGCCTTTACTCGCGCTTGAATTCTGGCCGAAAAAGTAAGTGCAGTGAAATTCCGGTTTTGAGTGCGGTTGTATGAAGCTCTATAAATTTTTAACGAATGAGGCTAGAAGCTTCTTTTAACCATTATTGAAAGAGCATGGAAGAAGCTTTTTGACAATATGCTGGCTAAGTTTCATAGGAGAAACTTTGATGGAGAGAAGCTATCTTGAAACAAGGCTAGAAAAACGCGCATTACTTTTGCACCAACCTAATAAAATTATCTTTAAGAAACGACATCTGGCTCCTAATGCTGTTTCAACACTATGCTCGATCACAACAAATCACTATCATGTTCCGCACCTCCTAAAGAGCAAAACTCGAACAATACCACCACTTACACAAACAAGGTTTTTCGACCAGCCTAATATGGGATGTAGAAATTTTATTAGGTTGAAACATAATTGTGACGCTTTCTTCATTCATCTCTAAAAAACTCTAGGAACTTGATGAAAGGTTAATGTTTGGCGGAATGAGCAATGGACAGAGGGCTGACTATCTATTGGCAACATTTTCATCTTCAAGATACGGGTTCTAGTAAATATAAAGGCAATTTTGTGGCAGGCAGCACTTCAGTCACTATTTTTTCTTTTTCTCTAAAAAAACCTTCCATTCTTAGTTTTATGTTCTAAGAATTTTTATGGATTCTCAAGGTTAATACTAATATGAAGGTAGTTTGGAAGTCTAGCCTCTTCAACAACGCATGTTGAAAACTTGTCAAAAATAATCAAAATTTTTAAAAGTACCAAAATTATATTTTTCATGCGTGAAATGTGTATGTCGAAAAAGTGCAATCCTCCCTTAATCTGAAGGAGGAAAAATCATTAAAGAAATTTATGATGGTTTTTCCTCCAAGTGTAACAAAACTTATGTTACGATATATTATTTGGCGCAACTGTGCAATGGTCTCTGACTATTTATAGGGTTTCAAATCAACGCATCAACAGATTTCACTTTTTTTCAATCCACTCTGCACCTGTGCCCTCTGCTGCATGGCTGTTTTAGTCACATAACTATGCGAGCATTGCATTGTTGAAATGGTCTCAAGAAAGTCTTCAAAATTTTAATTTGAATTTGAAGTCTATCTCGAAATGACTATCGAGATTGGTCGACTTATCTGTGCTATCGGCTTGCTGCTAGTCGTGTATCCACAAAATTTTGTTTGATTACGTATGATATTCCCAAAAATTTACTGGGATAGCAGAACAGTTGACGTATAGGCTCGTTGATTTGCTTTGCATTACGTTATTCAAGAGATTTTTATGAGAGAAAAACAATTAAAAAAGTCTGCTAATATCTCGACATTCAGCACTGTTTGAATACATCTCCCCTTTTTTGTTTCCTCGATGTCAATTTAGCCAGGAAAGATTATTGATGATAGCTTGCTGCAGCTTGTCGCTTAATGATGGAACAAACATTACCTCACTTTTCTGTTTTGATTTATTCTTATGTGTTATGGCAGAAAACGCAGTCCTCAGAGGCCTGTTGACTCAATCACTTTCATCAAACGGTATATGCCATCATTCGCCGCGCCCAACCGTGCATTTGATTCGTCAGTGACCGCAGTCTAGTTGCAAACCGACTTGGTCACCAGAAGTTCCACGAAAGATCACGACGAAAGCTTTTTCGGTCATCTACAGAATGGTGGGAATAAGCACTCCAGCTGAGTTGGGCGTTTTTCTTGTTGTCGTAGGTTATCTTGAGAGCGCAGACTGATAGGAACGGCTTGTAATTATCTGTTATGGACAACTGACTCTTGCTATTCATTTTCGGGTTACGAGTAAGAATGCTTGCGGTCTCCAGCGTTTCGAACTGAGTTCCTAACCTTTACTGAAAGTTTCTTACAACTTCTTTCAAAATCTTCGCCACCGTAGTCCTCAGTAAGTACCACGAATAATTTTGAATGGCTAGAACATTCTACAACACAAGAAGTAAAAAAACAAAACACGGAACACAGTGATTATGGACATTCCTTGAAATTACTGCAAGTAGCTTATGAAATTTACACCTCGAGCTACTAAAGCAGACATAAGCCTCGAAAGGAGTAGTAGAGGGTGAAGGCAATAGCCGAGTTTCCGAAAGCGGTGAATTTTCCCCTAGTTCAAAAAAAAGTTCTACATCTACATAGAGTTTTCACTCCACTTGATTCTATGAAAGGTAGAAACAGAGCCGGCACGGCTAGCATAGCTTAAGGGGCAGGTTGGATATCATTTTGGGATAACGAAGGGGTATCGTCTTGCGTTCTGAAGCGGGGCCATAAATAAAATATATATCAGCTTTGTATGATGTGTATGGAAAAACCAAAAATCACTATGCATAATTGGAGTTTCGGAAGTAGTAAATTTGAGACCTTCCGATCACGCAAGGCAATCTAATATTGGATATTTATATGAAACTGACAAAGTAAAAAAGAAAAAAGTTGCCAACCTCACCTCATGAAATCAACAAATTTTGCAGCCCTCTCTCTAACATACGAAGTTATCCCACCGCTATTGTGATATGAGTAATACACAAGGATATTCCTGACTGTCATCCCCCCCCCCCCACCTCGCCGCAATTGTTCCTCTGTTATTCCACCTCCTTATCTTCCGGAGACTTCGCAAATGCTCATTAATGTCCTACTGATCCCATTATCTGCAAAAAATGCACATCGAAATAAACAAAAGGCTTGTTTACAATAAAGAGGAAATGATATGACAACAGAATTGGTGTGTAGATAAAGAATGGGAAG